AATTCGACTGTTGGATTTAACCATACTCCACTGTCTAGATCACTGATGTTAATACGCCCCCCCAAAGTCAACTCTTTCTTCTGCTGTGCGCCTTTAACTCCTTTCTCAATGAGAAAAGACTTGCTAAGCCATTTGCCTTGTCTCCTTCCAGGTCGTCCTTTGATTAAGGTGTTCTTGGACATCCTTGGCTGTTTGTCACCTCTATGATCTGAAGCAGAAGGAACACAATCCAAATATAACTCCTTGTCTTTGAAGCAAATTTCTACATGTTACAAAGTCCTGTAACGACCAAACATTTAGAGAACAAAGTTTTTCTTGTGTAAAACCGTCCTCTTTGGGAAGGGTCTTCACAGCACATAAGTTTGTAAGTTAATAACTGTGCATGAAAATTCATTCACAATTTTCTCATTGACCGTTATGAGCTGGACATAATATCTACATACAGTTTTTCTAAAGGGATAAAATTAACATCGGAGATGCACCAATCTGAGTTTGTGGTCTATCACTGAAATGGGGTCCTGTCGATTTTAGCCGGCTTCAGTGCCTTTCCAATATTGAAAATGTTTTTTGTCTACTGTCTTAACAATAAAAAACATCAATAGTAGAAAGAAGTATTTCAACTTGGTTGAACAAGTTCCAATTATTTCCAAATGCTTTGTGCTCCATGTCTGACAGAGGTTTAAAGTTCAAATAATAAAATAAAGCAGCGTTGCTGTGTTAGTACAGGTGACTTTTGTGCTGTTTGATGAAGCTCTTCTATTTTCTCAGCAACTATTAGTGTAAAAATTGAACTAATTTCTACAGGTCTAAATATTTGCATAAAAGCAAATATTATTTCATAGATTCAAAAAATGATGGTGAGTAGCAGACTGTCTATCGACAGCAGTCTTCCTTATCAAACTCTGTGCACATATAAGCTTAAAATAAACTACCAATTCTAAAACAAACGAAGGTCTATTGATATAACTGAAGCAACTTATAATTTACCAGATCACTACGTATATTTTATTTCAGAGTCTAACAACTATTTTTTTGTTTCCGGCCAGATGATCACCGCTCAACCATGAAATTTCTTTTTCTGATCACCAGATGATTTTTTTGTTGCGTTTGCAATCAACATTTCACCTAACATTATATGACTCCCTACTTACCGTAGTCTAAATTGTTGGGATGTTTCTTCTGCTTGCCAGTGATTTGTTTATCCTGTGAGGTCTCAGACACATTCAGTTCACTAGAGACGCCTGCAGATTCTGAATCCCTACGCGGACCTACAAAAACCAAAGAGGAAAGAATCTAGCTGCTCCTTATGCCGACGTAAAGCGCAAGTAAACTACAATTGAATTCTAAATGCTAGCTTTTGAATGACAGTGACAAATATTACTAACTTTTTATTGTGCTTAAAATAAAGTCTTGATCTACACATACTACTGACAAGGCTCGGGCCAGTCACAGATATCAAAACATAATAATATTTACAAAAGCCCATTTCAAAACTGCTTATATTTCCTACTACATTATTCCTGATGTTAAAAAAATGTATTGATGAATTCACTCAGCTGAGCTCTTACCACCTGTTGTTGCACAGTACAGGTCAGCTGGCTAAAGAAAAACAACTAAACTTTTTCCCTCTCTTCTTTCTGTATGTCTTTTCCAGAAGCTGGAAAAGTTAAATTATACAGTCATGTATAATTTTTTACAGTCATGTACTGTACAGTCATGTGGTGTACAATAAAAGCAAAATCCATCACTTTTATTATGCTAATGCTTTATTAAAACTACTTGGAAAGGTATGAGTGGGAGTTCTGCTAACATGAACCAACCAGCTGAAAGCAGCCTGATCCTTGTGTTTCTCGATAAAGACAAAAATTGCAAAACAGTGCAATATTTTGCATGGTTCCTTAAAAAATTTATATATTTTTTTTTCCTTTAATTAAAATAAAAATAAACATATGTTCTAGACAATATTATCACTGTAGTAATCAAAGTGTTTTCTTAACTGCAAGGACTAGTGGCTTTTGCTTTTCTGCTTTGAACAAAAACTGAAAATCAGTCATGGAATGCAGCTTTGTTTCTCTGCCATTTTTGCTACAGTGAAACTATTAATTTAACTCAAAGTTATCAAACTGGGTCTCGCACCAGCAAGTGTTCTGTGTTGATAAAACAAGGTCCTCGTACACACAGCTGGTTACCATGAGGATCTTTCAAAAGCATCTCAGTGTTTGAACTCGGGTCAAACCGGCTTAAAAATTAACTACGCAAAACCAGCAAAGAGAAAACCTCTTTACAGATATGCTTATTAATTTTTTCTATTTTTTAAAGGTTTCATAAAACGAGTGAGAATTTTCACATTTTTGTTTTTAAAGGTATAAACCCAAAATCTAGACAAGATCATTTTTCTCAACATTTTTTGGCTTTGGACTTACTTGTTGAGCCAGCAATATGAAAAGCAGGATCTTCATTTTCCAACAGATTGAACTGAGTGCTTGCACATCCAAACATGGGGTCTTTGTCACTGAGCATGTTCTTTAGAGAGTCTTCCAGTTTGGATCCAGTCCCAAACTCATTACTGGCTTCACATTCCAAATTCTGATTCAATGTTAAGGATTCGTCCAACTGGTCACTGGGTATCAAATGGTTAAAGGTGTCCACAATATCCATGAATGCTGCTGCCTTCCTGAATCAAAGCAGCATACACACAGTATGAATAAGTGGCACGAACTAAAATACTACATCCCTAATGGTAAGAAAGCCATCAACTGGGCTTTAATTGTGTACAGTATGAATACATACAAATGTTTTCCTTTTCCCTGTAAAAAACATACCTTATATTTGTTATTGTGATTTTCAACAAAATCACTTGAGCAAAGATAGGTACATTGTTTAAATTAAGCAAGTAGGCTGTTACATAACATTGGCAAGTATATATGTACTAAAAAGTAACTGATGGATTTGATATGTCAGTGCCTGCTTATTGAACTTGCGCATAATGAAGATTTCATCATAATTTATACATTTATTTTTAGGATTTAACTACAAATTTTAATTAGAAAAGAAATGCAAGCTGGATGTTATTTTTTGTTTGAAATCAGAATGTTTTATATTTAACTGCAAAAATACTCACTTGTTGAGCCAGCAATGTGAAATACTGCTGGCCTTTAGACCTTTTATTCAAGTCTAAAGGTCTGAATAATAGGCGAAGTCACGTAAAATGTAAATTAAGTTGGCAAAACTTTCAAACATTGTTGTATTCCTGGCAAACGAAAAATATAGATAAGTGAATTACAACTATTTAAAGATTTCCAGCTACCTGAATTTCTGATCTACCACGGATTTATTTTAAAATTGCAATGTCGTTTCAGCTGCAAATGTTTGCGTCAACATAAGGATCAGCGTCAACATAAGGATCAGGATGCATTTGTTATAAGGAAATGCACAAAAAAAACAAACAACTGGGCTAAGTAAACTTTATTTTTTGCTACTGTGAGTGGCTCAACATCTGGCTAAACTTAGTCGTGTTTACCAACAGAGATTGCAAACAATCTAAATACGAGTTCTGGTGTTTATCAGGGAATTCAACTTAAGAACTCTTAGTGGTCAATTTGTAAAATGGGCTAAAAGTAAGGCAGCGAATGACGTGTTTCCGATATTTTCTGGTGAACAGCCGCTAAGACTCCACATCATACAACAAGACACATTTACAGTCTGTGCGCCATAAAACAAGACCGGAATCTAATGGGTTAATGTTTGTTTTCATTAAGGATAAGCTAAAATCCACCCATAAAATTTACAATCAAAACAACGCCTTCACTGAATCAATTAAAACGTGTTAGCATGCTAGCATGCTAGCACTGCAGGACAACAATCCGCTTTAGGACGCCATCATGGATGCTAGCATGCTTTACTTTTATGGGAAAAATACTGCCCTGCAGTAAATCACTGTTACAAACCTTACCACCACTCTTTGTTTCAGATATGTCGGAGGGGCTTCAAATTCAAAACATTGATTATTTATGACATATATTTTGTGCTTATCTTGGAGCTAAATCTCCGAAACGGCGGCAGCTAGGTAGCATTAGCACCAGGCCTCAGCTATCAAGTTTGTTTGTAGCCTGAATATTGATACGAGGCCGTTAGAAGATCTCGATCACGTGCATGTCGTGATAGACTTGCAGTTGGGTTATTGTGAATGATTGGTTCGTGTGTAGCAGTCTCACCTCTCCTGTGCCGCGATAACGTTGCCCACTCGTATAAGGTTACATTCTAGCACAGCTGCACCCAGTAACTTCCTCTAACGGAGCCGTCATTCGTCCCGCTGCTGCAAAGCTCCTGACAGGCGACTACAGTGGTCACGTGGTTTCTGTTTACGGACAGCAAAGAAGCTCATTCTTCAAATATGACGGACATTATGCCTATATTACTTTGCATTTCCACTCTATTGAAAGTTGTACTTTCAATATATTTAATATAGCCTATTGAAAGTAAATAGTGTCAGTATGGCGGGGTTGACATGCACCCTAAGAAGCAACAGTTTGAATAATCTAAAACTGAGAATCTCTAGGCTGATTAAAATAAACAGACGCCATTTGACACAGACATTAGTTATTTAGTAGAATTTTAACATCTTTTAAATGTTTAAAATATGTTTTAAACATTTTTAAAATCATATATGATTCTTAATTTAATAAGAGTTGAATTCTTATTAAATTTGTTTTAAAATAAAAATGGGAAATTTGGTCTTTATGGATGCAAAAGTTGTCACTTTCTCTATTTCTGGTTATATATATATAATATGGTATATATATATATATATATATATATATATATATATATATATATATATAACATTAGAATGCCACTTCGCAAACATATCGCAAAGATTTGCAGCAAAGATTGCTGTAAAGAGGCTGACAGCAATCTTTGCAGCATTTGGAATTATCTGAATGCCAATAAGTCCTGTGAAGCGCACAATTCAGAGACTGAGATCCAGACAAAAGTCAGGGAGCAAAAATCAATCTTTAATGCGCTTACGGCAGGCGAACAGAAATACATGGACTGAGAAAAATCTGCTGTAACTAACTCAGAGTTACATAGTTGCTTTATTCACCTCTCCCAGCTAACAGGCGGAGATTTAATCTTCAAGGACCAAAGGAAAACAGTCGGAACTTTGTATGCTCATTCACTATCATGTCTACGGGATGCGAACACTAAACACTATCTCCGTGCAGCGAAGGCCACGGGAAAAACAGCAAGTTCCCAGACGACCCGCCTGGAAAACTTCAGCAGACATCTCTTGTTTAAATAGTTTGCACACCCTCTGCATCTACACGGAAAAACATCTTGATTATAATATTACATCTATGTGATACATAAAAGAACACGGTATGATGCAAATAAAATATTTTCTCTTTAAAGAAAAATCTACTTCACAGTCCTTATGAGTTTACTTTGCAAGAGATGTTTTATTAGCATTGGACTCAAATATGTGTTCGACAATAAACGACTTAATGTGTGAAAATATTTTATGAAACGCACATCAAGCAATCAAGACATTAGTCAATCATAAACATTTATACTTCTGAAATGAAAGCAAATCCATTATTTTTGTTATTGCACACATATTTAATTATAGTCCATAGTTCACTAATATGCACCGAGTGAAAGAAAAACACTTCCATGAAAGAGAACACACTACTTTTGAAATGCATGTCATTTACTATTCAAAATATTTTAAAAACCCTTCTTTTACTGGGACAGTTTCTCTTTCAACTTCTCTTCTGGGTTTATGCCAAACCACAGCACACCGCCTTCAGCAGCAGCCCAAGCCATCCGCTCGGTGGTGAATGTTGCAGCCCACTGCCCTGACGGAGCAACTGCAATTGTGCCACCTGCTCCTTGGACACGATTACCCATGTACTGCAGGGACAACTGTGAGGCATCTGCTACTGATTTTCCTGTGGCAGCAGAAAGGAAATAAGAGAACTTATTGCTTGAATAATTGCTTGGTCGTTTACATGATGAAATTCCGTTTTATAAAGGACTGGCACATTTGAAACTTTCACATAAAAAAAACTGTTCATAAACTGTAAATCACAGCAGTACAAAAAAGCACAGAAATTCATATAACTTTAAACTTGATCATGTAAAAAATGCTTAACTACTTGCAAAATCTTACTTTATGTAGTTTGTGTTTTTTTTTTGTTTGTTTTTTCTTTTTTTTTTTTTTTACCTTGTTCGACATGAGACAGGACGAGTCTGGCCAGAGTCACTTTAAGAATAGATTCTCCATGTCCAGTACATGATACAGCACCACTTGAGTTATCAGCATATCCTCCACAGCCTTAATTACAAAAAAATCAAAAAGAATATTTTTTTTTATCTGTTTGCACAAAATAAAAAAAAAAATTATTAGAAGGTTCAGTGAAAATTTTGGAATTTCAAATGACATCCTACCAATCACAGGGGAATCTCCAACTCTGCCAACCATTTTATTCCTGATGCCTCCAGTTGATGTTGCACATGCAACATTCCCAGCACAGTCCACAGCTACCGCCCCAACAGTATCATGAGCCCTTTCAATGAGAAAAGTCTGTTAACTAAAAAGTTAAATGTACAGTCTGCATACATACAGATAGCCAATTTGGAGTTATCTGCCGGATTCAAAGGGATTTGTATGTTGGCTCCAAACCTGCACAACATATCAAGTTGCAATTGTCTTTGAAAATTGCACAGGACTGATTTATTGTAATATTTTTAAGGCTACAAAATTTTAGGGGTGGTAAGTTGAAACTCTGTCTTGTCATATGTACCCATTAGAATGAAGTTTCACCATCCGAAATTCCCTTAAGTGGAACAGCTCTTTGTGGCCAAAATTAGACAGCTTGATAGGAGTCGTGGAAACAATTATGTGAAACAGTGCATTAGAAAACTGCATACCATTTAGTGTTGAATTCTTCCATTACTCCTGCAATGTATTTCTTGTGCTTTTCCCATTCCTTCTTCTCATATTCTGTCACCAGTTTATCAGTGGGAATGGTGGTGATGCCAATGCTCTCTGCAAACTGGTTCGCACCTTTGCCAGTCAGCATTACGTGGGATGTCTGAAAATTTCCACAGCATATTACATACTAAAATTCAATTAACTAATGATAATGTTTGAGTTTTTTAAATGTTTTGATAAGCAACAGTATTGAAAGAGTCCCCAACCATCACTAATACTACTTAACTTATGTTCTATATTCCTTAAAGACAGAAAGAGACCACAACACAACAATAAATAATAAAATAGAATAAAAAGACCTTCTCCATGACAGCTCTTGCCAGGGACACAGGGTTAGCAATGTTTTTTACACAAGATACCGCCCCGCTGGCAAGTGTCCTTCCATCCACAATAATGGCATCCAGCTCCACTTCTCCATCAACATTTAGAGTTGCTCCATGCCCTAAGAGGAATGGTTTGAAGATACTTTGTAATGTGTTTGTTCGGAGAGCAAACATAGAAAGAGTTTGCATGTTTTGGCTACTACTTCTTCAATTGTCCACCAGGTGAGGTTAACGTTGCACATTAACTCCATAATAAAACATTGTGAATATTCAGCTTTTGTGGTGTTTACCCAGATCTATTACAATCTTTAAAGTCTCAAAACTTCTGGGGAATATAAGACACTAAAATGTTGAAGATGAATCTCGTCAAAAGGCCAAGAAGCACATGTTAAGGAACATTACAAATAAAATTAAAATAATATTACTATCAACACCAGTAGATGGAGACAATGTTCTGATACATCTGGATTGCATAGTAAATGGGTATTGCCAGTTGTTTTCTACATTCTTAATAGATAACTCATTCAGAGTATTGTAAATTCAAACTAAGCTGTGTAAATTTATCTTGAAGTCATAAGTGGAATTTTATGCACCTGCGTTAAAAATGGGATTGTCTTCCAAAGCCCTAACAGCAGCCTCAACAGCGTGGAGTGCACTTCCTCCGACTTTCAGGACTGCAGATCCATGGCGTGCTGCTGCTTTTACCCCATCAACAGAGGCAGGGGCCATCTCATCTGGTATGGCCCAGGCACCACCGTGAACAACTAACACTGCTGACATCATTAGAGTCCTGCAGGAAAACCTTAACACAGACAAGAATGTCAACACAATCCAAACATTTTCCTGACATTTGCTAAGCATGTAATGAGTTGCTTTTACATTGCTGTGTCTAAATTAAAACAAAACAGAATAAAGAATTAATAATAATATACTATTATAAAGGCATTATCTCATTCACACTTTTGACTGAAGGCTAAAATAAACTAAATTGTAAGCTGATATTAAGAGCAACATTGAACTTTGAACTGAAGGGATGTCATTTATCAACAGATACCAAAAGGACTTTTGTCCAAATAAGTAACTTATATGTTTGAGTCAAGAAGAAATACAAGCGGACAAGACTATTTAACTGAGAATTTTACTGAGTTAAAGAGTATTGGGGAGCGAACTTTTCTTTCTTCAGTATGTTTTTGACTACAACAAATAATCCACAATTTAACGGTTTATTTTGCATGAACCAACCTCACACATTATAGAAGTTAGCATGTGATTCAACCTTTCAATTTCAGCCGTTAAGGAAAGTGAAACAGCCACTCGTAAATGAATCGAATGCAAACTACAAACCGTACACTAACTTCAACTATTAAGCACAACAAAATGTGTGCTAACTTTATTTAGCTAAAGTTTTACTTTTAAAAAAGATTTGCTTACACAGTAAGAGGCTTTGTGGAATGTACGTAACTCTGAAAAGTTAATCTAAACGCAAATAATAAAAAACAAAAATTACTTATCTGCGCACACTGAATGCTTGATGAATTTCTGTGTTGGGTTTGAATTATAAGCGCAGATAGGAACAATAAACAGCAGGTTTAAAGGTATGGCCCACTTTTACGGAGGGTTTGAAATCTCTTCAACTTATAACACGTCTATCGTCAATGTGCAAATACAGACCATGAGACACATAAAAGATTATACCCCTCAACATTTTATTTCTACCTTTTTTGGGGATTCAGGCCTTAGTTATCCCTCTTTCTCTGTGCAACTCGCACCTTGCTTAAATGTCATTTTTTTGTGTTAGTTCACTGTTTTGTCTCTGTAACAGTGTGTACAGTGGATGACACAGCGCTGATTTGGAGAGCAGTTGGGGTTTTCTTGTCACTTCGCACAGTTTGTGAAAGCATGTATTTCACAGAGTGATGTTTCATGCGTTTTCCTACCTGTTATGACTTCCAACCTTCTTTCAGAAGACACGGTCTGCGGACATCAAGAGACTGACTGCGAGGGGTGAAGTACCTTGTTCTACACGCCGAGAAACGCGTGCCTGCAGAAAATTGCAACCACGACCTGTCGCGGGAACGCGCATCGCTATGAACTCTCAGATACGGACTGAAATATGACTGACGAAACAATTTTTGAAAATATTCGTCATACTTTCATGTTTTTTCATCATGTAAGTCCTAAAAGCTGTATTTTCTTTCACAGATTAATTGAAGAAAATACGGTTTTTGACAACTTTTGAGTCGAATGTTCCATACTGAATATTAAAATTCAAATTCAAACATACTTTATACACTAAAGTGGAGTCCGTATAAATGGTTTTTGCTGTCTTACCCTGTTGATATGTATAAGATCAAATAGTCCACTTGTGCTAGATGAGGAAGGTCAATATCAGCAGTCTCCAAATCTCCCTTGCCAGAAAACGCCCTGCAAAGTGAAAAGATTAGACAGTTATGGATTGTATCAAATTTTCTACATAATGACACATCTCAGTGTGTGATGTTCATCTGTATGAGTTGAAAAACAGGGTACACAAACACTGCCAGGCTCAGAATTTGCTTTGCCAAAGATGTGCAACCCCTGCAGATAAATAGTTAAGAAATACATTTTGGAAATACAAATTCTGAGGCTGCTGGTATCTGCATTCCCTGGTGAGACAACAAAAAATAATTTCAAAAGAATCCTCTTTACTTGAATCTATCTCTAAGTAGTACACATTGATCAGAAAACATTCACACTGTTAACTTTTAGCACGCATAAATGTACAGCACAGGAAGAATCTGTGTCAGCTGGTGGGTTCTCCACACAATGGATGTACCACTTGTTGCAGCTTTTACAAACAATATGAAAATTAAAAAAGTTAAATGGTCAGATTATTAAATTTAGGAAAATCTTCTCATTGTTTTTAGCTGTCTTTTTCCGTTAAATATTACTTATTGACAGAATGCATATAGAACTTGCTATAAACCGGATCTGCTCGGGATACACATTCTACATATGAGCTATATTTATGTCTTATTCACGAGTTAGACCTACTGATAACCGAATTGTGCAATTTACTGTCAGTGAATGTAATTCTTAAACTGTTTCCTATTTGCTACCAGCATAGTTAAAAAGTTTTGATGTTACACAATGCTTAAACTATTATGGTGTTAATAGAAAAAGCAAATAATCTGCCAAAGAAGGCCCACAAATTTAGGGCTTATATGGATAAGAAACATGACAGTTGTGAATATTTTTAAAAGTTGCCTCGTCTGTCATATTTCAGTCCGTTTAGTTATCAATGAGAGTTGAGAGCAATGCGCGTTCCCACGACTGGGCAAGCAATTCTTGGCAGGCATGAGTTTCTCACGCTTTCAGGACATTGACGTAACCTCTTATATAATTGATGACAGGACTTCCGACTGGACTGCATATCACCACGAACAATCATAAATGTATTAAAATTGAGTTCAAGTCAAAAACAGGGTCAAGGGGCTAAAAAGAGTACAACTATGTCAACATGTTAAAAAAACTAATGCATAATTATGATGTAAACAATCCATACATTTTGATATTCTGAATTAAACAAAATTGAGTGTAATGCTTTGTGAACCAGTTAGTTACAGTAGCACTTATTGCAGCTTTTTTTTAAAAAAGTATTTTTTAAAAACAGAGTGACAAAAAACTAAACGCAATTTTTACCCACCTTGCTTGGTGAATGCTTTTTCCAGTCTGATAAATGAGATAATTTTTATAATGACTTTTTCCTAATCTCATGAAATTTCAAACTGCAAACAAAAAAATCTGGCAAATTTAATTTTAAAGCAAACATTAGTATGAACAAAAATATTTAAAAAATATATATTTTTTAACATCATTAAATACACAAAATGAAATGTTGTAGACCACTTCAAATCCAGGAAAACATTCATCCATTGAAAGATCAATGAATTCCTTGACTTTTTTCCATGAATAAATTTTGCAATATAGAGAAGAGCCTGGATTCTAAACACTTGTTAAAATTTTGACTGTACAGAGAAGCAACTTTGATATATACATTTTTTAAATGAATAAAAACAATAAAAACAAACAGTGAAAGTAAGAAATCACAATTTCATTAAGCCAAAAAAAAAAAAACTGCTAAAAATGATATTTTATAGAAATATAAATTTTCCCGGTCTGCATCTTGATGGCAGTTTGTTGTAGTGTTGTACTTTGTTCAGCAGATGGTGTAACCCCTCTCCCAGTGTTGCAATTTGTTTCCTATATATATTGTAGAGTTGCATTGTGACCAACAGAGGGTGGCAAGAACATGTTGAATGAATTAACAACTGCCCAACACCAGATCATACAATCATACTCAAGAGTTCAGGTTAAAATAGAGGTGACTCTTTTTTAAAAAGAGTTTAAAAATATATATATATCTACATTATATTATACCTCAGACTTCCATTTCCCATCAAAAGCAACAAACTTAATTATGGTGATTACAGAAATAACAGTATGAATAATCACAATCATAAATCATTACACTGACTGCAATCAAGTAAAATTTCCACCTAAAGATCTTTGTACATACAAGGTGAAATGTTTTTATTTGTGTCCCGAAGAAACAAAATGTCCTGGATTAACACTTCTGGCCCAGACCAAATATTAAACTCGCTTTGATAAATATAGCAGCTGTAGTACATATGCCAAACAGGAAATGCTGCGTTTACACTAAAAAGTGTAAATCTAACCAATGTTTACACCCACAGACAGTACACTTAGTAGAAATAGAGTAGAATGGATCCGAGTCAGCATCAAATGGAGTCACATGAAATTGATCTGGCATCTATTCAGAATGCCTCTTGGGTAAACTCCTTTGCATGATTTCTGCACAAATTGGGATGGGAACAGAAGGATGTGGCTCTCATTGGACCTTTTGCTCCAATGAGATCCAAAACTCTCATTCAACCTCTTATTGAAAGACAATGAGATCTTGAATAAGAGCCAATAAGACCTAGAATTCATTGGAGAGGCGTTTTATTCCTTCTGGCCTGGGTACCAGATCTTTCTGGATCTGGAATATGCAGCTGGGCATGTGATACCTCAATGGCAAGATCTGAGTTAATAGGTGATCCAAAAGCTATCTGGTTTAAATTATGTTAAGAACTCTGTGTGAGGAGTATCCATGTTCTATACCTTCATTCAGAAGGAGATTAATGAAGTGAAAAAACAATCACCTTTTGAGCTGTGATTGAAAAGTGAATTAGTAGGAAGAAATATTAATTTACTCTAAGGAGAAGTGTGAATGTGGATTGTTTCCTGTGTTTGTCCTGTATTTTATCTGCAGGCTTTCCACAACAAGACAGTCGCAGTGGATATAAAGTTCAGGCTCTTTATGACCCTAAAAATAACGCTGAAAATAATTATTAATGACAACAAATTGTGTCAATTTTCAGAACAGTGCATTTTGTCTCAGTTTTATTTCATTTAATTATTATGTGCCAGAGATCACATCAAAGTCTGCCAGATTGGTATGTCTTGCCAATTGTAACTCCCTCAAGGTTTATATTCATAAGATGTTTAATTTACGCAGTAAACAACTCATCCTATTAGAGGAGGAAACATAAATAACAACAGAATAATTAACACCCACTTGTGAAACAGTTTGTCTGCAGGTCCCCCACAGTCTTTATGATTCTGATTGCTGGGAAGAGACATGACTTTAAAGGTCAAGTGGAGCTGGAATTGGTCCTTTGCCGGGCTCATCTGCTAAAATCTCATTTGTGAGTGAGTTAGACAGGCAGCATGCTGGGAAGATGATGACTTTAAGATTCAACTTAATATTATGACAAGATTGGGGAGGCATTTGAATTCATTTACACATTTTTGCTTGACCCTCAACTAAGTCACTTAACTTTCTAAAAGTAGTTGTAATTTTTTTGCAAGTTTATCTTGTGGTCATCAGTTATTTATTAAGCATTGTTTATGGTCACAATGTGCATAATGTGCTCCAGCATAGACACTTGCAGAAAGGAATACCTAGCAGCTTTAAATCATGGCAGGTAACCTAAAAATCAGACAGTGAAGATATCCACCTGCATAAATAAAAGTAAATTCACATTCTTTTAAATTTTATGTTTAGAAACTTTGAACAATAACTTCAAAGCCCTGTTTTTAAATCATATGACTACAGACGAGACGCTGGTTTTCTTTTAATCTATGTTACATTTCAGAAGTGAAGCTCTGTTGGGGGCCTCCTGCTGCCCTGGGGTTTCAAGACTTCTGGATGGCTCTGCTTTATAAAAACAAACATTTCAAATAGATCAAGACCTGTTCAGCATGAACAACTACAAAAAGATGTCTTTTTCTCTCAATGAGCACATTTGGTTGTGAATATTGTTGAATAACAGAAACTCACGACTTAATTTGTAAGAAGTTTATAATTATGAAAAAAGGTGAATCGACCATATACCAAACAGAAAGGCTACAATGCTGAATCACCCAAGTAGAACAAAAGTTAAACTTTTGATTTTGATTAAAGGACACCTTATCAGCTGGACTTTCTTTTATCCTCCTTATAAAGCATTTATTTTCTGCTTTAAAAAAAAATACATCATTTTACCAGTCGCATATCTTCCAAGAACAAGTGCGATCTTCAGCGCAGATGGTTCACGCTCAGAGGGGACCTGGCTGAGTCTTCATCAGCACCAGTCCCACACTGAACGTAGCCAATAATGTTGCCGAGGGGCGGGGGAGGGGAGGGGAGCGCAGGCTGCAGACCCCCTGAGTCTGACGAGAGTCTGGCGGCTTTCTTACAGAGGAGAGGAAGCGGCGGCGGAGATGGACTCACACCTCTGATTACTGCTCATCCTCCAGCCAGCTTTTCTCGCAGATCTGGAACGGCTACATTTCACAGACGGGATTTTTTTTTGGGTTGGTTCTGGGCGGACAGACTGCAGCCACCTGAACGCAGGAAGGAAACAATCTTAGTTACATTCCGACGCTCAGTTCTGTGGTCTCACCTGTACTGCCGGTGGAGAGACTCGCTGCGATCATAATGCATCCGAATAAGTGCTTACCTGAACTGATGGCCGAGAAAAACAGCCTGGACCCTTCTTTTGTTCATGCGGTTCGGCTTCTAGCGGAGGGTAAGTCAGGTCGCTTGTTATTATTTTTCATCCAATTTGCTTTGAGCGTTAACGTGCTGTATTTTACTGTAAGCATTGCACAAGAAGACTTTACTTTAGTTCATATGTGTGCAAGTGATATTGGGTTTACTTCTGAACTTTGCGGAATATCTGCAAACACGGAAAGTAAAGTGTGCAAAGTCAAAGAGTAATCACCTTGTCTCCCAATATGTCAGATTTGAACAGAAAGCTCTTTTCATATTTACATGTAAAACAATCAACAGTTAACAAATCACACCAACTCCTGTGATGAATTGAAGTTAAAAGGTCAATCTGTGACTAAATTTGTCTTTCTGATTTGTCAAATAAGTGAACAGAAAAGTACCAGACATTGGCCAAGTATATACTATACAAATATTGTTATACAAATATTATAATACAAACAGTTTTACAAACGCAGTTTTACATTCTGGTAAGCTGGACAAAGTTGAAACAAGATTTTAAAAAATGAGACTGAAAGAAAAATAATTTCTGAAATATCAGATTGATGAAAAATAAAAGTTTGACTTTTTATATATATATAAATCTTGCAGGTTTTCTGATTTTGTTTCCTTCCTGTACTGATTGTCGTATTTTGCCATAGGGTTCTGATGAATATCAAGGCACACAGGTTTTAAAACATTAAAGTCCTAAAAACAACTGAAGTTTTTTCCACACAACTCCTGTGGTTTAAATTGTTTAATTATATTCTGGAGAATGTGACGGAGTGGCCAGAGTTATCTGGTAGCAAAACCCTCCTCTGTCTGTTGCTGCACACTATCAGTCAGCTGGCTGAAAGAAGGCAACACATATTATTAAGGCAATATATTATTTTTTTAGCTAACCGTTTTAAAACTTAACTTGGCAACCTGGGACATCATCTATGTTTATCAGCAGATGATGAAAAATAATTCTCTGCAAAAAGTGTTTGACAACTGCTGCTAATTTAGCAGATATTAGGCCTATAATTTGCATAATCCTATGAATCAAGATAACAGTAAATGAATTATATACATAACGTAAATTTGATATATTTACTCAAGTACTTTAGCAACCGTGATATAAGTTGCTTTTCTATTCTGAAATCAAAGCTATTAGATCATGTGGGAAATTTTTGTTTCAATGTTTTGTGCAAATACAAGACACTTTACAACTGGTGTATTTTTTTTATAACAGTGTTATTTGTAGCTTTTTCCTTTTTTTTAATAGCCAAGATGCTCAAGCTCACAAAAAGTAGTGGCGACTGTGATGAAGAAGAATGTGGCTTAATTTTGATTAATTCTGTCACAGTTACATGTTTTCCTGATATTATGTAACCATAGTCATCCTGAGACAATTTCATACCTGTCTTTGCAGACTCAAAGTGACCTCAAATTTCAATTGTGGACACCTCTCTATTGTGCATATTTAAATCCAACCTACATTTTTATGAAAGTTTTCATTTGTGACTCTAAGGTAACATTGAGGAACACGTATATGTACGATCTTTTTCTCATGTGTCTCAACATTTGAATGTGGTTCTCATTGCCTCAAAACAATTGCTGCAAGATCAGACCTCAAAGAAACCAAATGAAAGATAAAAAGTTAGATGAGTAAAATTAAGAGTTGCCTGTAAAATACTGTAGAATATGACTGTATTAAAGCAAAGTAAATCTATGTATGAATAATTTTTGTGACAAGAAATCTATCAAGCAAATATAAAAAAAAGTTTAAAATTCCCTAATGACCTTGAAGTTCCTCCATTGAAGTATCATTTGAAACCCATAGTGCTCTACTGTAAACTGGATTACCTTCTCCTTTTAGAGTTCGAATCCAAATGAGTATATATATTTTTTTACAATTTTACTGATGCAAAAAGTTTAATATTTTTAAAGAAAACGTGTATATCAGCGTGTTTGTGTGAGAATAATGTGCATCAACTGGACAGGATGTCTTTGGAGTTCGGTCCCCCCTCCCTTTTGTGTTCCTGCTGAAATGTGTTGATGAGACACCTGACAGTGCCGCTTTTGGCGCTTACTGGAGTGCAGATGGGATCATCTGTCACACACTACATTTTGCCAGATTTTCTCAAGGCTGACTCACATGCACAAAAAGTGAAGACAAGAAAACATGTTACAGAGGCCATTAGGATGCTGTCATGTGTAAGAATTCATCAAATGGCAATTTTAAACTTTTTTTGAATACACTAGCTCTTCAATTAACCATAACTAACTATGCAGACTATTGATGCTTTTCAGATAGACGCATGAATAATACACTAGAACTGGCAGTTTCAGAGGTGTGTGCTTTCCCCAAATCATTGTAAAAACTTCAATTTAAAGCATCATCCATAATACTGGACAACCACCTCTGGAAATGTTCTAAACTTCTGCTGGCTTAATCTTAGGTAACAGCTGGTATTTCTTTTTCTTTCACAAAACTCTTTTCTCATTGATAACGCAGAATCCTGCATACCTGCGGGCAGCAAGATAAACTGCTTTCAGCAATTTATTGATTCAGTTATTTATCACTGAACAGAAAGGCACGTAATCCTGCATTATTCATATCACAGACAATGAAACACAAAACATGGATTTATTGTGGTCTTGGATAACATCTCCATATTTAAGAAATATATTATTCACGCCTTGTGAACAAATGATGACCTGTACATAATCATTTGTCTATATTTGAGCAGAAATATGATAGTTTAGGAAGAGGATAATTTATCACCTGGTTGCCTTGTAAGGCCAGAGGTATGCTATTGCATTAAAGTCTGTAGAAACGTTCATATCTTTTCGACATTCAAAGAAACAATAAACTTAACAATAAGCTTTAACAGCTTTCACAGCCAATGGCCATAGCTGTCTCGGCATTTGCTGAAACTGTTGAAGGCATTTGTCAGTGAGAACAGAAGGCTAATGACTTATCAGACTGACAGATGAAAGTCAACTCTTTCTTGCTCTTTACTTTTTTCTCGCTGAAGAACAGTGGTGTTGTTTTTTATAGTGGGTGGGAGTCAGAGACGAGAAAGGCGAGCCATTAATAGATCCCACAGGTCTTCCTTGCAAGACTCGCCTACATGCCATGTACGGAAACCAGGGGGATTTCTAATGAGTTGAAAGGGAGGCAGGAAGGAAGTGATGGACATCGAGATGAGCACTGGTGTCTCAACGTTTCTAAGCTTATTTGTTTCCAAACCAGGTCCTTTTCTCAGGTTATATTTCGACAGAAAATGTTGTGATAGGAAATACATTCTGTCATATTGCAACCTTAACTTTCAAGGATTTTTATTGGGATACTACATGTTAGGCTTGCTCAGACTGGTGTAGAAATATTTGGCAGATAACGATCTTTAAATTTTGTCATAGATTTTATTTTTTCACCCTCAAGTTACTCTGATACCCCCAAATGAATTACAGTTTTTAAGTCACTGTTGAAAGGCCACTTGTGTGTGATTTTATTCCGAAAGAAACATGTCTATTTTATGAAGGTTTGTTAGAAACACTAGAGGAAACAGTACAATAAAGACCAAGGAACACAACAGACAGGTGAGGGTTAAAGCTGCCGAGCATTTTAAAGTGGGGTTAGGTTAGCAACAACATCTCAAGTGAATATCAGTCCAGAATCATATTGGATTCAAGTACTAAATTGATCAGTTTAGACTTTGAAATTTCGATTTAGGCTTTTTGTCTTTTCCCCTTTGCAGACGTCTCTGGTGTGTTGTTTTTATATTCCTGTGTTCCTTTGGACAGGAACACTTAATGTTGCCCAATAACTTGAAATATAATGCTATTTTTTTCCTTTGCTCTCCTCTAACTCCCAGCTGCTCCAGGCAGACATCCACTCTGCCTGAGTTTGGTCCTGCTGGACATTTCTCCTGATTGAAAAGGATTTGTCCTCACCTGTGTTGTCCAATCAAAATGCACAGCCCAAGGGACCGAATCAAGTTGCAGATTAAATGCCATTTTCTGATGGCCAATTTCTTCAGATTGAATGAGTTGTATTTCTGTCGTGTTTCATATGAAAAGTCCTAAGTACTTAAATAAAAAGCATCTGTGGGGGGAAAGCCAATTTACCTTCTATAGAAGAACTTAAGTCTGCTTTTGTAAAATCCTAAAATTAAGGTCTGCACCACTTGTTACGATAGCATCTTGTGGGTGACCAGTAATTGAGGTTTTGCCAATTCTCAGCAACGATTGTAATGAATGACGCTTGTTTTGACAGCTGCTTTGATAATAAATTGTGGCTTTTCATAGACTCCTGTTCACACTTTTATCCACAGTCATATTTCTGTCTGGCTATTGTCAGGGAGAATACAGCATATATTCATGAAGCCTGAAAGCTTGACATAACTACAAAACATTTCACCAACCCCATTTTATGTTTCATTGTTTGTTTACCTGTGATAGCTCTGTCTGGGACAACAGAGAATCTACAGCAATGGATCCTATTATTACATCGACCCCTGATTTAGACCTTAATTTAACACCCCAGATTCACTCATGATTAGTGTAACAACAAATTTAGAAACATTTTTCAGTCAATTCAAATAACATATATATGAAATGACAGGTTTAATGAGAAACCTGTCATTGGACAGGACACCTGAAATAGAATATACTGACTTCCATCACACTAAATATATGACTGATTATTGTGATAATTAAATACATTAACTAGAAATATCATGCTCTTTTTCAAATATTTAAGTTGGTTGGCCAAAATGGATTGTACTGAGGAATACATTGAACTAGACATTGTTCTGTCACTGCTCATAGATCTTTGGTGACATTTCCAGATATTTCAAATTTACATCTTGATCACAAAGTACAAATGGTTCAAAGAAGATTGATGTCTCGAACACGCCTGTTACCCAAACACTGAAAGATGACATTACACTCTCTCAAATTTGATACAATTATCCTTCCTTCATTCTTTCATTACCTCTTTGTTTCCTTTCTTCTTTGTTTTCTTCCTCCTTTCTCTTTTCCTTTCCTGCT